TGAATAAATTTACATATAAATGTATTTATAGCCGCATTAGGCCATGAAGACTAGATGAAATTGTAACTGTGATTATATTTCTTACTTATTAACTAGTTATGAGTATTTCACATGTAGCGCACCATGAAAATTTTAGGGTAAGATTTGGAATTGGCAAATTAGCTGTTTATTACTATAAAAATTTTGTTCGCGTCATTGTTAAGTACTGCTATAACAGTATTAAATATGAATTATTTACTAATACGTTGCAAATTAAACTATTACATTTCGATTCTCTATAGCTTCAACATTCGTGATTGACAACGCAATTATATGTATGTAGGAAGCAATGCATATGACTTCTACGCTCATTTCATGTACTGGCAGTTCAATTTGTTTCATACTTTTTCGTCACTTGTAATTTACCATTGGCGAAGCTGAAGTAAGATTTACTTGCTGTCAGCTCACAGCATGATATGAGAGAGATAACAATGCAATTAGAAGAAAGTCAACAATGCATGATCATAGAGAAGGAATATTATATTCCCAACTATAGACAAAACATTTAGACAAATACTTTCTATTTTCAATTTCGAATACGACTATCGATCATGAATAAAATCACTTTGATCATTCACTAAAAAATGATAAACAAATGCAGCTTTTTTCCTGTCGATTGTTCCTTGAATAGTACGATTTCTCTGATTTCGGTCGTCTCTACTTCTCGGTGGATCTCTTAAAAATATTGATCCAAACAGTGTTGCTACAAAGTAAATAATAGATTAGATAGCATTTGTTATAATGAATAATAAAATAATTTTTATATAATCTTACCAAGAGTTTTAGCATCAAATTTATTATCTTGCGTGTGATTTAATAATTCTTTTAAAAAGTAACATATATAAAGATAAACTTTTCTCCTTATTTCTGGAAGTTGCATTACAATCTGTAAAACGATTAAAAGATTTTCCATTTTAAATTATATAAATATTATATATCTATATGTAGCGTGTATGTACCTGTTTGCACTGTAAATAATTTACTGCTGCGGACAAGCACACGCTATGCAAGTTATACGGAATTAATGGTTCAGCAGTTGATTCTAATAGTAAAAGTAATGCTTCTGCGACAGAATGTACACTACCAGCTTTGTAAAAATATGGTTAAGGAACCAAAATAATTTCTGAATCGTTAGAAGAGATTGTAGCATTTTTCACATATGTGATTTTTATGTTCTGAAAAGGATACGCATTGGGTCTTGGCTCCCATTATCTAACCAATCTCTTATAGCTATAATTTCACTGTGAAGACCAGGAGTTTCAAAGAGTCCTGCCGTTTTTATACCGTGCCGATATAATCTGTCAACCAAAAACCATATCTCCTTAGGTATTTCATATGGATCTGGAGGAAGATTCTTATTATTTTCCTGTAACATCAAGACAACTCGTATTAGATCTTTACTTCTTTCTCTGTTTTATGTTTTATGTAGCTTCCTTACAAGTTCCATTAATCTACCAATAGGTACTTCTCTAATAGGTACTCGTATGTGAACCAAAGCTTCTATCGATGCTCCGAAACAACTTCTNATTTTACTGTTTTGCATTTTTCTTCGAATCAGTAACACAGAAACGATTATTTTCGAATTTAAATATCGTTGAATGTCATTTATTAATTGTTATCATGTTCT